AGAGAAGGGAGAGAGAGAAATCACAACGCGCACAGCCAACGGCTCCGGGCCGCGCACGGCCGAGGCATGGAAGGGCCACGCGGGGGGATGCGGCATGAGGATGGAGGGGATCCCCGGGCATCCCCAGAGCTAGCGGTGGCGATGCTGGCTTCCAGAAGACGGACGGCAGACAAGAGGGACACGTCACTACCGTATCTCACTTAGTACAGTGCGGAGACAGGGATGGAGCAAGCGGGCGGCTGCGCGGGGAGCGGGAACCAGCGGACCCAGGACAGAGAATGGGGCGAGAGCGAAGCCTGAGGAGGATGGAGACGGGGCGAGCAGCTTGCGCACCATCACCGTGCCCACTGCGGTCCGGGGAGCCCCTTCCCCCGCGCGCCTGCCCCCCGCCCGGGGCTCCCGGGAGCAAAGGGGCAGCTGCGGAAAGGCACCGTCACCGCCAAGAGCAGGAGAAGCCCAGCGAGACCAGACCACAGCAGCAGAGGGAGCCGGGCGAGAGCGCCCTTTGCCTGGGGGGGAGCACTCGGGGTCTGCCCCGGGCAGCCTGGGGAGCCCGGGAGCCGGAGCCGGGGGCCACGCAGGCCGTGCCGGGCCCTTTCCCGGGAATTGGAGGGTCTGCACCTGAGAGCGTGCCGGGGTTTCCCCGTGGGAGGGACCGGGAAGGGGGAGGGAGCGACTTCCGCGGACTCTGCCCTGGACCCTGCCCTGCTTGCCCTCGCGGCAGGAGGCGGCCGGAGCTGGGGGGCTCTTCCTCCCTGCACCCCTGGGCCAAACCCCAACCCGGGCTTGGACGGCAGTGCTCGGTGACCTCGGGGCCCTGCCAGCCCGGGGAGGCGGCTGCGCTCTCAGACCCAGCCCAGCGAGTTACTTGCCATCCCTTGACCGTGGCGGGCTCCCCGGGGGGCTGCCTCGTTTCAGAGGAGAGTCCAAGAAAGCGTCCTGCGGGGGCTGGGGCTGGGGCTGGGGCCAGAGGGGCGCAGCTGCGCACGCACGGCAGACGGTGCAGTGAGCAGGTGTGGGGGGCGCAGGCTGCTCGCGGCGGCGTGGTGAGACGGGGCGTGGGGGGCATGCGGAGTGGAGTACCTGGTGCAGGGTGCCAGAGTCATCCTGGTTTTTACCCTCCATTAGATCCCAACCAACACAAACATCCCCCAAGACAAAGCACTGGCAAAGCGGCTCGACTTCCAAGGGCAGAAACCAAGAGTTAGACAGGTAACCCGAACAGCACACGCAGAGTCCACATCCCGCTGCGGCGCGGCACGGCACGGCACGCCCCGCGCACAGCATCATGCAAAGGCAGACACTGACTGTACTAAGTGTATCTGGGAAGTGCCTCCTAACACCACACAGAGCGGAGCCCTGGCCAGGCCCCTGCCCGGGCCCCGCCGCCCCTCCCTGAGGGTCAATTTGTTGCACCCCGAGCCAGCAAGTTTGCCCCAGAAGCCCATGTCGGAGCGGGGTTAGAGAGCCCGGGGCTGGTGTTAGTGATGGGGCCGGCGGTCGGGATGGACAATGCTCCTCGTCGTCATGGAAGGAGAACGATGCGGCCAGGCCCTCCCCCGCGGGCCGCACGCCTACCTCCTCCTCCTCCAGCCGTCGCAGCGTCTCGGTGATGAACTTGATGTACTGGCTGGTGAGCGTGGTCAGCTCGCTGTAGCGCGTCCGCATGTCCACATACTGCCGGCAGCGAGACACGGGTCAGCGGGGACCGGGACGTGCTGCACCCCCGCCCGCCGGAGCCCCCTCACCGCGCCCTGCCCCCCAGCCCCTCGCACAGCGGAGAGCTGCGGCCCCACGGGCACCTGCCCCTGCCCCCCGCTCCCTCTGCCCTCACCTCCTGGATGATGCTGTCGGACGCAGACTGCACTTTGGGCTTCTTGGCTGGAGAAGCCACGGGCTCCACCTGGGCCTTGTAGGTCACCAGCTGCAGCTCATAATCCTGCAGAGGCAGAAGAGGTCTGGTCAGGGCTCCCCAGGCAGAGAGCGCCAGCCCGAGCCCCCGCCAAGCTCCGGGACCGATGCTGGGCAGCCCCTGCACAGGGTCGCGGCGGCCACGGCCCAGCCCGGTCGCGCCTGCAGCAGGGCCGGCCCAGGAGAGCCTCCCGCACCTTGATGGCGTCGATGTACTGCTTGGCGAAGCGCTGGCACTCGTCCACCTTCTCCCGGTTCTGGTCGCTCTCCTCCAAGAGTTTCTGTGGGAAGAGGCCGGGCGTGAGCTCAGAGCCACCTCTCCGGGCTGGCCCACGCGTGGCAGCGTCGGCCCTGCCAGGCAGCAGACACGGCCGCACAAAGGAGAAGCAACGCCGCTGGCCTGGATCCAGCCCCCACGGCCTCCCACGGCACGACTCCTGCCCCGGACCCATGCACAGGCGCTACCTTCTCCTGAAGCAGCTGCTCGCGGACGGCTTTGCTGTCCGTGACGGGCACGGACTGGATCTGCTCCTGCCGCTGCCTGGCGTCCTGGATCCAGTGCATGAGCCAGTCGTAGCTCTCGCGGTAGTAGCGCAGCTGCCGGCCCAGCTGGTCCAGCTCGCGCTGGCGCACGTCGATCTGGGCCAGGATGGCCTGCCAGCGCTCCAGCAGCTGCTGGATGCGCTCCCGGTACCGGTCCAGGTCCACGTCCCGCTCGCTGTGGCCCCGCAGCATGCGCTCGTTGACGTCCTTGGCCTTGTTCAGATCTGACTCCAGGGTGCTGAACAGGGGCTGGTGCCCCTCCACTTGCGCCCGCAGCCGCTGCAGCACACGGCCAGACCCCCGCCCCCACCCCCGCCCCGCACCCTCACTGCAGCTCCCACTGCCCAGGCGTCAGATCCATCTCCTTTCTCCTGCCCTGCTCAGGTCTGCTCTGGACCAGTTCATAGAGCAGTGGGGCTGGCTGAGGGGTCTCATCCAGTCCAGCCCCTGCCCGAGGCAGGATCAGCGTCGTCCAACCCCCCGGGCAAACCCCGTGTGTGACCTCGGAGCCGCACGACACAGTCGCCCCTGACGCAGCCCCGGGCATCGCCCCCGCTCCTGCCCCCGGGATGCAGGGGGGCCGCGGCCGCCAACATCCTGCTGCTGCCAGGGGGCTCCTGGGTGCTGAGCCCAGGCCCAGGCTGTGCCCCCGTTATGGAGGAAGGCAAAACCCCCCAGTGCAAACCAGTCTGAGCAGGGGGGAAATCCCTTCCTGCCCCAGTGTAGTGTGGGCCTGAGCCCGAGCGCGGGGCAAGACCCTCCAGCCGGGACCCTGCAGGGTCGGTGCCAGCAGGAGCACTGGCACAGCCCAGCCCCGTCCCCAGCATCTCTGGGGGAGGCTTAACCCCCCCCATGCATGGAGCAGAGAGGGGGCACCCAGCACAGCCCCAAAGCCTGGGACATCCCCACAGCAGAGCACAGACATCCCTGCACCCAGTACCCATCCATCCTTTCCTTGACACCTCCCATGATGGAAAGTCCCCCCTTCCCTGGCATCTCTCCCACGGCCTCACGGCTCTGACAGTGCAGAAGCTTTTCCTGATCTCCACATAAACCAACTTTGCTGCAATTTCCAGCCATTAGTGTGCGTCCTCCTCTCTGCACCGAGAGAGACAAGGCGCTTCCCCTCTTCTCTCTAGCAGCCCTTCAGGGTTTTGCAGACCGCGGCTCTGTCCCCTCTTAAGTGTCTTTTCCTCAAGCTGAACGTGCCAGCTCCTTCAGCCTCTCCTCCAGGACTTGCTTTCCAAGCCCTTGATCACTGTCCCCCACCTCTGGACCCTCTCTCACGTCTCCACGTCCTGTTTAACCTGTGGAGCCCAGACCTGCCCACCTGTCACGGGGGACAGCTCCAGAAGCAGGTACATGGGGAGGGGGCAGCGCAGGGAGGCAGACACCTCCGGGGCCCAGGAGGAACGGCACCCCCGGGCAGGCCTGGTTGCCTCTGCACCCGTTTCACCTCCCCGCCCCCCCACAGCGCTCCTGCCACATTGGGGAGGGTGGTGCTCCCCAATGGGAAAATGGGCTGGAGAGCACCCTCGGCAAGCTGTGGGGAGCAATAGATACGCTGGAAGTCCGGCTACGGTTCAGAGCGACCTGGCCTAATAGGAGGATTGGGCCAAAAGAGATCAGAGGTTCAACAAGGACACGTGCAAAGTCCTGCACTGAGGAGGAGCAACCCCCTGCACCGGGGCAGGCTGGGGGCGACGGGCTGGGCAAAGATCTGCAGAGAAGGACCTGGGGGGGCAGGGGACAAGAAGCTGAACAGGAGCCAGCAGTGTGCCCTTGTGCCAAGAAGGCTACTGGCATCCTGGGCTGCATCGGTAGGAGCGTTGCCAGCAGATAGAGGGCAGTGATTCTTCCCCTCTATATGGCACTGGGTAGGCCACATCTGGAGTCCTGTGTCCAGCTGTGGGCCCCACTACAGAAAGGCTGTGGACACATTGGAGAGAGTCCAGTGGAGGGCAATGAAAATGGTTGTGGGGCTGGAGGACAGGACTGGTGAGGAGAGGCTGAGGGACCTGGGCTGATCGGGTCTGCAGAAGAGAAGACCGAGGGGGATTGAATAGCAGCCTTCACCTCCCTGCAGGGGGGCTGCAAAGAGGATGGAGCTGGGCTGGTCTCAGTGGGGGCAGATGACAGGACAAGGAGCAATGGGCTCAAGCTGCAGCAAGGGGAGTTGAGGTTGGAGATTAGGAAAAACTCTCACTAGGAGGGTGGTGAAGCACTGGGACAGGCTATCCAGAGAAGTGGTGGCATCTCCACCCTTAGAGGTGATTAAGGCCTGGCTAGACAAAGCCCTGGCTGGGATGATGTAGCTGGTCCTGCTTGGAGCAGGGGGGTGGACTAGATGACTCCTAAGGTCCCCTCCAGCCCCTGTTGTCTGTGTTTCTATGATTTTACAATGCGGGAACCAGCCCCACCCTCACCTTCAGCTCAGCTTTGCTGGCCTCCAGCTCCTTGAGGTCGGCGGGCACAGTCTGCACGTCCTTCAGCTGCTCCTCGTACTTGCGAACCAGATCCTCAGCCCCCTGCGTGCTGCGGATCACCAGGTTGACGGTCTTCAGCCTGCGGCGGGGACACAGATCAGCTCCCGGGCAGGGGCAGGGGCAGCCCAGCTGCCCCAGAGCAAACCAGAGCCACAGGAGACGCCAGCACCATGTGCAACCGGGCCCCTGCACCAGCCAGAGCTGCAGCCCCAGGAGGTGGCAGCCCTGAGCCCAGCCGGCCATCTCCAGACACCTGGGCAGCAGGGCAGGGAGCGGCACCACTGCGCACTGGTGGCCAGCATGGAGCCCGTCCTCCCCCACACAGGAGGTCTGGCTCTGGCCCGGGAGCAGGAGGCACGTGCACCCCCACGGAGTTGTTCACCCCCTAGCGCCCACGCCCCTGAACGGGGCCTTCCCCGGGCTGGGGGAGCGGGAGATGCCCCCTCTATCAGACCAGGGTGTGCTGCATTTCCACGGCGGGGAAACACTGGGACATGCACAGTCAGGGTAACGGTGCCACGGGCCCTGCTGTCCCTGTGCTGCTCGACTGCCCCTGGCCTGGCCGTGGCCGTGGCCGTGGCCGGGCTTGGCGGCAGGGCCTGCCGGACACTCACTTCTCCAGGTAGATGCTGGAGAGGCTGTGGACCTGGTCCATCTTCTGCAGCGTGACATCCAGCTCTGAGCGCAGGACGGGGGCCGAGCTGGCCTGCTCCGGCTGGGCCAGCACCTTCTCCGTCCGCTCGCTCACCTGGTCCAGGTTCTTGCGGATGCCCTCCAGCTCCAGGTGGATTTGCTGTGGGGGGAGGCACGGCCGTCACGGCATGGCACCGTGCACCAGCCCAGCCCCAGCTGCAGGGTGGTGGGTGCCAGGCCCCGTGTGCTGCGCCAGGCCAGGCGCCCGCGGGCCGGGCGTGGGTGCCCACCTGCTGCTCGCTCATGCGCTGGGCGCACTCCTTGGCTGGGTCCTTCTCGAGGGGCAGGCGGATGCGGTGGATGGTGCGGGACTCGCAGCCCTCCAGCTGCAGCCGGATGTCCTTCAGCTGCGAGATGTAGCTCTTGCACAGTGACTCGTCCTGCTCCCCTGTGGGCCGTGGCAAGGCTCAGCCCCCGACCGCCCTGGGGGTCTCCAGGGCAGGGCCCTGGCAGGGGTGGCACAGGGGGAGGGCGCAGCCCTGCTGCAGCAGCAGGTGCTGGGGGCTGTGGTGGGGGCACAGCCCTAGCAGGAGAGGGCTGGCGAGTGGTGGTGCAGGAGTGCTCCCCGGTGCTAGGGGGGCTCAGGGGGTGCCCAGTGAGCACCCCGACCCGGTAGGTGTGGGGGTTGGGGGTACAGGGGGTCAAGGGACCCTGAAGAGGGCATGGGGGATTGCGGGGGGGTGCCAGTACCTTTCTCCAGGCCGCGCAGGAACAGCTGGTACTTGTTGGTGCAGGTGCTGTATTGCTGCTCCACCAGCTGCCGGTCTTCGGGTGGGAAGCTGGGGGCGTCCCGGCTGTCCCGCAGGAAGTCCTGGTAGTGCGTCTCCAGGCTGCGCAGGACCTGGCGCTGCTCCTCCACCGACATGGTCCGGAACTGCGGGAGCGCACGCTCAGCCTCCGCGGGACCCAGCCCCGTCCCACGTGCCACGTGCCACCACGTGCCCCCGAACCCCTGGGCTTCCCCGGGCGAGACTCACCGTGATCTGGGACCAGGACTGGATCTGCTGGATGTCACGGACCAGGTACTGCCAGGACAGAAGGCTCTTCATGTCCACGTGCAGGTGGTGCCACAGCGTCAGCAGCTGGTGGTGGGTGACATCGAGCCTGCGGAGAGACATGCCATGTGAGCCAGGGCTGGGCCGGGCCCGTCACCCGGGGCAGGACGAGTCCGGGCGCTTCCAGCCACAGCACGGAGAGAAATCGCTATCACCACCCAGCGATGGGGCTGGCAAGGAGCTGCAGCATCAGCCCCGTCCAGACCAGCACAGACAAACTCATGCCCGACTTTGGAGCCGTTGCCCCTGACACAGCCCCGGGCATCACCCCCATCCCTGCCCCCGGGATGCAGGGGGACCACGGCTGCCACCATCCTGCTGCTGCCGGGGGGTTGCAGGCGCTGCAGAGAGCCCAGGCCCAGGCCGTGCCCCCGCTGCAGAGGAAGGGGAAACCCCCCAGTGGCGAACCAGGACCCTGTGGGGTCGGTGCCAGCAGGAGCATTGGCACAGCCCAGCCCCATCCCCAGGGCTTAAAAACCCTGAAACTTGGAGCAACAGGAGGGGGAAATAATTCCCTCCCAGCTCCAAGGAGCAACCAGCAAACCCCCACAGCAGAGCAGAGGCATCGCTGTGCCTCGATCCTGCCCGCCCAGCGCCAGCCCAGCCCCTGCTTGGACCCTCCAGTGCTGGAGCCCCCTGCCCTGGGTCTCTCCGGCTGCCCCGTTTCCAGGCTCCGATCTAAGCTGCCTTTGCTGCAACTCGAAGCCCCGGCTCCGTGTCCCACTCGCTGCAGCAGGGAGAAAAGCTGCTTCCCCGGTCTCCGCGGCCGCCCCGCAGGTGTTTGCAGACTGCCGCCACGTCCCCTCTCGGGAGCCTTTGCCACCCGCTGAACGCAGGACGGGACCCCTGGGGCTGAGCCCCGTGCCCCGCACCGGGCGCAGGAGCCCACACACCTGTTGACGGCGTCCAGCGCCTCCTTGTTGGGCGGCGGGACGAGGAAGCAGACGGACGGCACCACGGCCTCGGTGCCACCCGGGCTCAGCACCTTCCACTTCTCGGGCTGCGCGTTGCTGAGCAGGGCGCACTCGTCCCCCTTGTGCACTGTGATCTGGGGGCGGAGGCGGTGTCAGCTCGGGCCTGGCTGCCCCGCAGCCCCCAGCCCCACATGGCCAGCCCCATGCCCCCACACCCCCATTGCCCCAGAGGCCCCCGTCCTGCAGCGCACCTCCCTGCCCCGCTCACCTCCATCTGCTTGTAGTCGCAGACGGCCTGGACGGGCAGCTGGCCCCGCACCGGGGTGCTGGGGCTGCGGGGCTTGAGCTGCACGATGGCCTTGGCCCGCTTGGCCAGCCCGGCCAGCTGCCCCTTGTACTCGGCCAGCTGTTCCTTCTCGTCCTGGGGGGGCAGCACGGGTCAGTCGGACGGGGACGGGGACGGGGACGGGGGGCTGGGAGCCGTCTCCTGCAGGGGGAGGGGGGCACTCACGAGCGAGTCCTTGAGCAGGTCCTCGAGGCGCGTCACGGTGACGGTGCGGTCGCACGAGAACTTCTTCCTCATGCCGTCCTGCATCTTCCTCAGGAACTCCTCGGCCTCCTTCACGTCGGAGAAGAACTGCGGGGCGGGACAGGCGGTCAGCCGCGGCCTCCCC